TAATAGATCCTACGGTGAACACTTTGACTAATCTTGTCAGATCGAAAAGTGGGATTTGACCGTCACTTTTATAGCGCAACCACGGCCTAAATTGCGAAGCGTGCTTTTATGGCATTAGGCCTAGTACGATCACGTTAACCACTCTGCCACGCCTGCCCAAAAAGAGAGAGAAAGATAATTTTTGTGATCGGAATGTCTTATAAAACACGCAAGTCTTTTACAGGTTTTGTTCGCGACCCCCAAAAAAGGAAGAGACGGAACACATTATATCAACAACAGTTAAAAATTAACTACAAATAAAGTACCTATACCATTGTTTTGTAAGGTAATGAAAAATATACACGAAAACTGAAACAAAAACGCAAAAATAAAAAACAAGTTAACGAAATAGAAATTAAAGCCAAAAAAATTGTTAAAAACTAGTAACATTGAAAAACTATGGTTTCTGTTCGTAAAATATTTTTGCAATATTTTATCCATTGTAACGAATTTATTGTCATGTACTTATTTTTTTAATATGAACATTGTTTAGATTAAATTTGTATTTTAAAATATGCGTAACTTATAGTGTCATATATGTATTGCATATAACGAATTTGTAATGTATTTATTTTAATGACAACGTTTGTTTGGAATAAGTTTATATTTAAAAACGTTCCTAGCTTACAATGTTAGTTACGTATGGCGAAACTCCAGCCAATTCTCCAAGATTGTAGAATATTTGTGAACGCAAGAATCGGCCATATATTCACTTACGTAACCAGTTAAATATAGCTAGTATTGTTGTCCGAACTTTCTAGAAAGACATTTCCCGCCCATATAAAAAGACCAAGGCCAAAGAAGAGAGAATAGAAATAAGTCTGCTAGGAGCCTGTTATAACCGTGTATGCTTTAAACCGGGATTTTGCTAATCCTTATCAACCGGAAAATATACGACATTTGACCAGGAACAATTAAAAATTTCGAACGTCAATGAATTCTAATCGAACGTTAGTATCTTTCCAACAGTATTACTGAATTCTCATCGGACATTAGTGGTTTTATGAAAATATTATCTTACTTCGACGGTCCAACAATTCAGTGTCTGACAAAGCTAGCTAGCTTCTCGGCAATTGTACGTAGATCGACTTCAAGTTAACTCGCTAGATATCAAGGAGACTCTGAACTAGGAAGAAGATTTTAGGTTATTTGTAAGTTAGTGAAATTTTTGCTTATGAAATTTTGTTTGTAATAATTAATCGTAAAGGTTGCTATTGTAAATTGCAATGTTGTATAAATATTAAAACGTATTTGTGTGAAAAACGAAGATGGTGTATGTCAATCTTGTTGGCAAATAGCGTAAATTAAATAAAATATCGGCATATTTCTAAATCCAGGGTACGATTTAACTATTAAAATTTAAATTATTTAAATCGGCTTTTAAATTCTCAATACATAACACCATGTTGCTATCGAAAAACTAATTAATCATTATATTGTGCCATGGGTTTATAATACACAGCATAAATAAAAATTACCCAATACACTTTTGCAGAGAAAAAAAAAGAGAGAGGGAGAGAGAGAGAAGTGTATTCAGTATTGATTTGCTGCTTGCTTCGCCAACGGTGTACATTGGAATATTTAAAAGAATAAGATTGTTTATTTAGTTATTTGCTTCTTTCACATTCGGTGTTTATCGAGCCCAAAAGGGATTGTAAATTGCGTCATATCTGTGAAAAATATTACACACAAACAATGAATCGACAAAAATACCTAATGTTTCATACTCAGCAGTACGAGTTTGCTGTTGCAACATCCTAGAACGAGGCAACGCCACGACGACGATATTCTTTGATACATTTTCACATGTGCGTGTGTGTGATCAAATGCGAACTTTGTTTGCCATCAAAAGATTTTTATTATCAAATAGTGCCGGATACCAAAATAAGTATCGTAACGGCGTTCCAGTTCATTCCGCTAAACCATTTTTGCTATGCCTTTTTTTTAAACATTTTAATATACAAAAATAAAGGAAATATAATAATAACAATAGCATTATCAAATACTTTATTTTGAATAATATAATATGAAATACAAACTAAAGAAAAAGTACAGAAATAAGAAACAATACATCTTTAAACATAAAACAAATCTTCGATAAATTCGGCTCGTGTGTGATATTTCTATAGTAGAGGGAGCTATACACTACACTTGAACTTTCTCCCAAGACGAAGATGCAAAGAAAGTCGCAAGTTCTTTCATTGCCGATTTCCAGAGTTTGGGGAAAAAACTTAAACAAATTTTAAATAAAAACAGAACAAGATGGTTTTCAAATGTAAATATACTAACTATTATTTTCTCAACGAAAAACTAGAAAAAAATAAAAGGAACTGGTGTAGTTATACAGGACCAAAACTTTCGTCAGGTATGGGAACTGGGTCATAGCTGATTAAAATGGTGGAAAGTCATTATACTTCTGTTTTTGAACACACTCTTGTGTAAAGAAGAAGAAGTTAAAAATCAATTTACTCTTTGTGATATGATATAGAAGCAGGTTATCCAAAAGTGTTAAAATGTTTGGTTTGAAAGTTGTAACTGGTATTTTGTAGTTATTGGCTTGACTGAAGAAACAGAAAACAAAATAACTGAGAGTCTTCTCGAGACTGGTATTTTGTAGTTATTGGCTTGAATGAAGAAACAGAAAATAAATTATTGAGAGTCTTCTTGAAACTGGTATTTTGTAGTTATTGGCTTGAATGAAGAAACAGAAAACAAAATAACTGAGAGTCTTCTTGAAACTGGTATTTTGTAGTTATTGGCTTGAATGAAGAAACAGAAAACAAATAACTGAGAGTCTTCTTGAAACTGATATTTAGTAGTTATTGGCTCGTAAGAAGAAACAGAAAACAAAAAAACTGAGAGTCTTCTTGAAACTGATATTTTGTAGGTATTGGCTTGAAACAAAATAATTGAGAGTCTTCTTGAAGCGAGAGTTTTTGTAGAGATTAGATTGAAAAAAAAAGTAAATTATTATAATTCATTTATGATAAAACTGGACATCATACCAAATAATATTTCATACAAAAATATATTTTAAATATATAAAAATACCAATTAAAAAGGATATAAGAATGAGCTAACTATAAAACGAAACGACTTAAGTATAAAAATAATAAGTCCTATAAAAATATGATATTATTGTTTGTTTTTAAGCTTCTTAAGCACAAAGCTACACAAATGGCTATCTGTGTTCTGCCCACGGCGAATATTGGAAACCAGTTTTTAGCGTTATAAGTCAGCAGACTTATCGCTCAACCAGATGTCAAAAATGCGATACGAGTTCTTTAAAAAAAAAACACATATTAGAGTAATTTACCCCCACCCCTCATTTGATGTTAGTGAAACGTTGCTCACATTCTGTTTGCTATGGTCTTCTTTAATAGTTATATAATTTTCATACGGCTGATAATTTTTTGATACACGACGTTTCTTCTACATAATCACATGCATTTTGAAGCATGCACCATATATTTGGTCTTTGTGTTTGTGGAATTTCACCTGTTACAAGACGCCGCACTTTCTTTACTACCATTAGCGTACTACTCGTAGCGAATCTCTTTTTGAATGGTCCTATTGTCCACAGTTGCTCCACATTCCTTTGTTTTTCAATGGCATTACGTACAAGAAATATCCACATCTTCGAAATTCTAAGTCTACAATCTAAATGAATGTTTATGATCTGAAAATATGAATATCTTGTGTTGGAAAAGACTACAAATTATCGGTGGCATCACACTACCTTTGAATGTCAATAAATGTCAGAATATAGTTTTGATATATGCCTTTTTCAACACGGATTTATATCAGGTTTGTTTGTCATATGACTTGCTGATTTACATATTCAAAAGTGTTTTAATAAAACGTATTAGCCCCTGTATATGTTCTTCATTACGTTTTTTCTTTCTTTTTATACTAAAAACAGAAATACTAATTTACTTGATTTGTTAACAGTGGTAATACGAGTGTAATTACAGCAGTCAAAACAAAGACATGATTATTATGAAACTTTGCCATTTTCGTTTGAGATGGAATTCTAGTTGTAATACTTTAAATCTCGCTCTATGAGAAGTGCATTCTTAGTAATCCCTAAATGAGTGGTTTTCGTGACTCTCGTTTGACAACAATAAGCTTATAATCAAAAATATCAATAATTGACAAGGATTTAACCTGAGAATCAAGCTTACGGTCGTTTCTGTGTGTAGTTTATAAAACTATTTATAGGAATTGTTGATGTGGGCAACATTTCTAGTGACGCACTTCCGTATATAATATCTATCACTGAGTCTCAATTCACAGGCCTGAACAGTGCTCTTCAAACTTTTTAGGTGTCGCCCCCTTTACTTCTCTGTAACATTTTGTCCCCTCTCAAAAAATGTTAAAATAATTTAAACGTAATATAAACACACACACACATATATATATATACAGCCAATGATAACAACAATCGTCTTAGTTTTTAAAAAAACGAAACATTTTCCTACGCCTTTCTCCACTCCAAAACAACAACAACAACAACAAAACAGTACGGTCACGCTTCCCATGGTAGTGGGGTGGCTCTGTACTGTTTGAGAACCATTTCATTAGAACAAGCTCATTTAGGTTGCCCACGTCAACAACTCTATAAACATTTCTGCACAACAACGTTGTATCTATAGTTTCTTTATAACCCTTACTAAATTGTCATAATAATAAATTGTATGAAAAATTGAAAATAAGTTTCTTGTTGTTTTTGACACTTCAAAACGAAGAGTTAACAAAGTAAAACATATCGCTTGTGAATTAGTTGGATTTAATTGAGTTTTAACAATGTGGTGTTTCTATATTTTACTTATATTTATACTTTTATAACGTATTTTCCCGATAGAGGGGGCAACAAAAGAGAATGCTAACACATATAGTAAGAATAGTTGAACTCAATGACAGAATGTTCTTGTCGGAACTCATGCTTCTTTTTAGCACTCGTGTATTTGAACAAAATTCATTATTTAAATTCATTTATCTTATTTTCCAAATAACAGGTAAGTGGTTTTACATTATTAAGCAGTTTGCAATAAATTCCAACTTACAACTCTTTTGTAGAGCACAAAGAATTAAAGTTGGCAGAAAAACAAAATATCTGATTCCTAATGCATCCAAACAGTAGAAGTTCTTAACCATGGTTATATTTGCTAACCCTTAAAGAAGAAATACCCGCCATTTGAAAGTACTAGAGATTAAAATTATTTCTTCTTGGAATTGAATTAAATTATAATGTTGCATTTAAAAAGAGGTTTTTTAACATTAAAAATAAGCTAAATGAGTTGTTCTTTGGTGGCTTCAAATGTCTTTGATCTACTCTTGGAAGGCAGTGTTGTTTGAATATTGTTCAGTTTGTTTTTGACAAGATCTTCCTCTTTGATACGTTTTAAACAGATGAAGTCCTGTCTTCAACAACTTCTTTCTCCTCGTAACGGCGGAGGCTCTTAAGTCGTATCTTCTCTAGCTCTTCTAGTTTTGGTGGTGAAGCAGAGAAAATATGTTGATAGACCATTCCGGCAATAACGCCACCTAAGATAGGTCCTAGCCAGTAAACCTGTAAGTAAATTTTGGACTTTAAAATAAAATAAAACAAATACAGTGACAGAAAAAACGAAACGAAACATCTCAAAAATCATAAAATAAAATACGTTTATTATAAAGACTTAAGAATTTTCAATATACAGGGAAAAATGAAATGTTTGCATTATTTTCTTTTTTCCAGTGTGGTGATATATAACTTAATTTCTTCCATATTTCACTTCCCGATATAACTGTGGTTTAAGAAGTAATAAATACCTGAAAATATGATTTGTGATCATTGAGCAGTAATTGTTAGCCGCAGCATAACGACTCACAAAATGGCTCAGTTTTTTTATCAAGTACAAACTTTTAGCTCATAGCTCAGTCATATCTTGATCGATTTGAGATCTAATTACAGTTTTGGACTCAGGAGGTCAAACCCTTTCGATTGATGTACTTGACCACGCCCAAGGTTTCATAGCTTAATTTACTCTAATCTTGTCTAAAAGAAATTCAATTTGAGAGTAGGCTGGTAGAGATCCTGATGATTAATAAAATCGAATTGGGTATACGCGCGTCTCACGCTAATAAAAAGGGGGAAAAAAAAGTCCCATAGATTAATTTACTCTAAACCTGCCTAAAAGAGTTTTTCAAGTGCCGCAGCTATTGAGGATTCTCTCTTGTTTTGAAATAAATGACTCAGGACGAAAAAAATCCAATTTTGTTTTGACCCACGGGCTCGAACTTTCATACAGTTTAATCCACTCATGGTATACAGAATTCACAAATAAAATTATCTCTCACTATTAGTACTATAAAATCAATTCTATAAATATCCATATGGTTGTGGTAAGCTATAACTGAATTTAATTCAGCATCATTAATATAGTCTTAAGAGCTTTAAAAAATACGCTATTTGTGAGTCTGAAACTTTTCCAATTTTAGATTTTATAAACACCAGTAAAATACAATATACAGGGTTACCACAAACTTTGTATCTGGCTTTAAGTAACAACCAGTCCCTTGATAACAAGGCAATTTGATATGAATCTAAATGGCCACTGAAGAAATCTACTGCGCATGTACGTAAAATTGCAATGCATAGAAGAAAAATCATGGGCGTTTTGTCATATTCAGTGTTTCATTAAGTTGTCTGAAAATAGCTCAAATCGACTACAGTGTTATAAAGTACTATACCCAGTTAAAATTGATTAATTATAGTATACTCAGTTAATATAAACTGATTATAGTATCCTTAAATCCAGATGAATTCCTTTACCAAAGGTAATTATTTCCCTCTAGAGCGGCTAATTTGTGGAAATTCTTTGATACTAAAACGTACAAGGCGACATATCTTGTTTATGGTTTAATACTGAAGTTTGAGTTTTAACTTTTTTTTCAGCTGGTCTCTTGAAGATGGTGGAACTTTTTCCACCGAAACATGTAGAATTTTTAATTGTATATTCTACTTTTAACTTATACAATAAATTATTGTGAATTTTTAAACGCTGAATGTTTCTACTTATTTTATGCAATATAAATAACTTATCGAAGCTTAAAAGGTAGTACTAATGGTTACTTGTTGAATAAAACCCAACTTAAGACTCTCGCAATCAGCTAGATCTCTGAAATTAGTTATAACAAATTGAAAGAATTTCTCACTGGATATAACTAGTATATTTTATGTGCTCGTCTAGACTAGAACCTTTTGATAATCAAACTTTTTACCACGGAACTTCCATGCTCATGTGTTATTCAACCATTAAAAACACTGACATTTCCAACTTAAGAAAGAAGAAAATATTACGTGAGGTTAAGCTCACAAATTGTGAAATTCTGCTCGACTAATCTGCAAACAAAAATACACCTTGAAGAACTGACAAATTCTACAAAAATTTCTTACTTTTCTGATGAGAAAATCCTATTTAATAAGTAGGTTATCGAATGTGGTATTTTAAGAACCAAACTGGTTCTAGGCTTTACCATATAAACATCATAACATCAAGGAGCAATAAATATAAAAATATTGAAGATTCAAACGTTAATAAGTAAGTAAACAACGTCAACTATAAACAAAGATGATTATGTAAATTATATAAAAGTTTTATTACAAAAATTGATCATTGAGGAACAAATTGTAAGATATTTATACTGGTTACTAGTGAACATACACAAAACAAAAACATGAAATACTTATTATAAAACACGTATTAAATAGTTTAGGTAAAAAGGTCCATATTTCTTTACAACCTGCCACACATTATATATGGATGTTATATTACAAACTTTGTGTTCTCGTGATACTTTTTGTTCAAGTGGCAAGTTTGGGATTAGCGTTTTTGATATCCATCCTTTTTGATCCTGAGACACAGGACTATGTGTGGTTTAATCAACAAAGTTATTAACCTTGAAAGAAATTTACTATTGTTTCTCTCTGCAGTATTACAAATAATCTATTATAATAATACTCAGTTTTTGTCTGTTCTGAAAATGTACGGTAAAAGTTATCTGGCTAAACTAAAGCAAAAAAACTCACACAAGTTACAGTGTTAACTTATCTCTTTATCGAATATAGGCCGTACTTAATAAAGGCTTAATTAATGTTAGGCCTAAGACAAGTAGACTTCAGATTTCGGAGTCTGCGATTAGAATCCTTTGTACTATTCTAAAAATCCCGTATTTAAAGAAGTACTATTACAATAAAAATAATAATTTGACCGCAAAAGTATTGCGGGCCTCTGCTAGCATGTATAGAAACACGGTTTATGATACCGATCAGTGAATACAACAACTCAAGGTGTAAGGAATAAGTGAATTACACGAATATTTCTCTACTCACCCAATGATATTTCCAGACGCCAGCCGCCACTGCAGGACCAAAGGACCTCGCTGTGTTCATGCTAGAACCGGTGTACTTAATCTGTGAAAATACCAAAGGTAATTTGGTTGATGTAGTTTGATAGATAGAGCGGGGCTATGTAAAACAGTTTGTATATCAAATAACTAAATGATGGACAGAACAAAAAATTTGTTTATTTAATTCAGAATATTCGCACAAAGCTACAAAAAGAGCTAACTGCGCATAGCTGTCCCTAATTTTAAACTGGTCATTATAGGGAGACAGCTATTCAACAATACCCACTGCCATCTTCTGGGCTATTTTTGACTGACCGATTTGTGAGATTTCACCGACACACATACTTATAGCGCACCCACGGCCCCCAAAGTAGAGTGCGTTATTTGAGATAACGAACCTCGAACCACAAACTTTCAGATAAACAGTCTGAATACGCTAACCATGAGGCTACACTAAACAAATAATATATGTTATGCTAAATATATAATGTCGAATATACATTGTTTAATATATAAAAAAGAGTCACCTACGGTAATTACCATAACTAAGAATGACTACATATATAGATGAATACTAACAGCTCGCTGTTCACTGTCAGTTCAGATATGATTGTTAAGAGTTACTCTTGCTTATACCAGTAACAGCAGAATTAATAATAACAGATAAAATAAACGAAACGACTTAAGGATCAGAAATATTAACTTTGGGAAAGTAATTGGTATTAAGTTTTAAAAGGATAGGTTAAAAGACTACTACGTTAAAAATGGCTTCACTTTATGATCCATATTTTGATCACTCAAGAGGTGTTTGAAAGAAGTCGAGTCACGATCTAATTTTAGACTTCGTTAGAAAGGCATTCTTCTTGCGTAAGATCTATTCTACGACGGTCATGAATCAGTAGCGACGCATGAATGTTATGTGACATCAACGAACAACTGGAATTTTATTTATTTTCAGGGGAGTGGGTCAGCAATATAAAATTAAAGCATACGTCACAAAAATAATTAAGGACAGGAAAAAGTCACGGCAATGCGCCGAAGAGTTTAGAAAAATGCCCGACTTAATATTGCGTATTGTTAGGCTAACGTGCTGGCACCATTATACCGCGAGGATTTTGTTTGTTTGTAATTATGCATAAAGCTACGTAATGGACTATCTGTACTGTGCCCACCACGGGTAACGAAACCTGTTTTTTAGCGTTATAAGCTGTCAATCTTACCGTTATGCCACTTGGGGGCAATATCGCCAGGAAATATCATCTTTGTTTAGATTTAATTCAATAAGGTATGGCTCCGTCTAGCATCCATTGCATCTCGAATTCAACAGATCAAGATGCAAGTACAAACGCTATGCCATTAACAGACATCGCCCATTGACTTCTGTTTTTAGGTGCGTAAATGGGCCATCAGAATATCTTCTACACATGGTTGATAGACTTTATAAAATGGGCCATCAGAATATCTTCTGCACATGGTTGATGGACTTTAGAAAATGGACCATCAGAACATGTTTGATGGACTTTGGAAAATTGGCCATCAGAACATCTTCTGCACATGGTTGATGGACCTAAGAAGACATGCAAAGGGGAAGAACAATAATAACGTCAGTGTACTGCGCAAAAACTTCTTGCAGTGGAAATTACGTTTCAAAGCAATAGTGCATAATCAGGGTTATCACACTGAACACTAACAGTGGTGGACAAAAAAGCTGTACGACCTATTGGCATTAATCCTTGTATCGTTACAATACATACTGAACATCAATGTTGGAGATATTTGGTGTAAAACATTTGACAACATAATGAGCTTTGTTTTAAACTTCAGAATAGTTATACCATAAGTTTCAATTAACAGAAGCTAACCAAGCATAGAAAAGAACCAACTTTCTTAAATCTTCAAACGATGATAATCTCTCACTCTTCAATTAAAGCCCCCTCTAGAAATATATAATCATAAAAGAAAAAAAAAAAAAAACGCTTTCTTAGAAAGTTACGTGGCAGTTTTTTTCAGTCTTACCTACTAAACACATACTTGTACTTTTGATATAACAGATAATGTTTATATTTCTTGTAACTGATCAATATTTAGTAGTGCATTACAAAGCCTCAAAGGTACATATCATTTATTTAGAGCATAAAACCATCATATATCGGACCTTTACTGAACTCGAGAAAGCTACTGAAACTTTGACATCCTAATATAAAGGATTAATCTGTTGCTTTCATCTAGAATGTTTCACCTTCAATACATCTCTGAGATAATCCCAAAGTAAATCAGACTGTATGACGTTATGAACACCTTCAGGCACTGAAAATTAGAGTTGCATATTGAGATAATGGGATATGCGTTTAGTAACGTAAACAATGCGAAACCTTTATTGATATTAATCCTTACCACTAAGAATAAATAACGTTGTATAAGCATGTGTTGTAACTGTTCATATAATCATTTGTATTACAAACAATCCACTTCTTTTTTTTTTGCAGAAGATTACATTCAGAAATTCAGCTTTTTACAAGACTATACACAATACCATTTTCATGAAATAATTATCTATCGTCCAGTATCGATGACTTAACAACTGTTCATAATTCGACTTTTTTTTTTTCAATTTGAAGATCGATTTGAGCCAATGTTTTCTGAGAATCTTAGAGAGTATAGTGTTCTTGAAAGGGTTGTTTGTTTGTTTAGAGTTAAGCACAAAGCTACACAATGGGCTATCTGTGCTCTGCCCACCACGGGTATCGAAACCCTATTTCTAGCGTTGTAAGTCCGCACACATACCGCTGTGCCACTGGCGGCGCTCTTGAAAGGTTTGTTTATTTGTTTGTTTGTAGTTAAGCACAAAGCTACACAGTGGGTTATCTGTGCTCTGCCCACCACGGGTATCGAAAACCGGTTTCTACCGTTGTAAGTCCGCAGACATACCACTGTGCCACTGGGGAGCCTCTTGAAAGGAAAAGAAACAATAAAGTCATATTGCTTATTTGGTAAACAAGTCATAATTTTTTAAATAACCTTAGAATATATAAATACTTAATTGTTTAGAATTTTCAGATTAATCACATACTCAAGAAACAGCTATTGGTCAATCTCACAAAATCCCCACAGAAACAGCACTAACTTTCGTACACAAGAACAGAAAAATTACTGAAACAAATCATTAAATTGTTTTTATACAAGTTAAGTTTTATTAAGTCTACGAAGCGTTTTTGCAAAATAATTGGTTTGTTTGTTTGAAGTTAAGCACAAGGCTACAGAATGGACTATCTGTGGTCTGCCCACCATGGATATTGAAACCTGGTTTGTAGCGTTGTAAGTCCGCAGACATACCGCTGTGCCACTGGAGGGCTAAACTAGTTGAAGATTTATAAATCTACTCTTTAATGATCATGCTCCCTTAAGAGTCCTAACGTTTGAGCCACACATAATGTCGTGGTAAATGGATTTCGTTTGGAAAATATATTTCCAAAAGTTAGTGCATTGATGTTAGTTGACAAACATGATTTTGCTTTGTTTTTCTAATCGTGTTGTTTACAAACTTAATATTTTCAGCACATTTTCACTAAAGGGAATGGAACGACATTTATTCATGCTATCTGCTGGAAATCGATGAGAAGTTTTAAAATATATATATATGTATTTACTGTAATGTTTAATGCGGATTTTTTTTTTTCAAACAACGGTATAAACTGGCGACTAAATTTCATTGAGGATTTAAAGATGATAATTTTTTGTTTACAGTCTTTCGGAACTTAACAGAATAAAACTTTCTGAAGCAGAATTTTAAAGTTCCTGGAAGTATAAGAAGTAAATTCAAGTGACCTAGACCAGTAATGTCCGCATAAAACTGTATTTCTATTTATGAAAATATACATACTTATTAACTTATCAGACTTTTAAATCTGCCTCCTTTGGCTACCTTAAAGTTACAAAAGAATAAGTATACGAAGCAATTATGTATTATTGGTTTGCGGAAAAAACAAGCTTCGTTAAAACTCATAATTGCATGCTGATAAGTCTCATTCGATTGTAGTAATATTATTCTATATAAGTGTCTATTTAGTGACCTTTTATACATATTGGTTGTTAAAATAATTATTATCTTCTCACTCCCACGCTTTGAGAAAGTTGGTTTCAAATTATATTAGCCTAGTATGTAGGCTCAGCAGGATAAATCTCACTCAGACCGGTTTAAACTTGCCTTCTCAGATATTTATATGCGTATATTCGTGTGCTTTCACTTGTAATTGACCGATCAACTGGCGAATACAGACAAATAATAAAGCCTAAGACAACTCATAAAGTACTTCTTTTCTATTCATTCTGCTTGAAATTGTATTTTAATGATTAACAGTACATCATTTCAATGTAAAAAAAATTATCCTTAATCAGTAGGATTTGGGAGATTCAGAATGGGTATAATTAGTTTTTTATCCTTTCTCGCTTGTAATTTATTTCTTGGAGTGTGACATGACTCAACCATCGCCTCCATTCGCTTGATTAGAAAATAGTGAATTCAGTTTTCTGTTAAATGATAATAAGAAATAAGAAGAAAATCTGTAATGAAGTTTTGTTTCAACACTTCCCGTAATCACGCGAGTGGATTGTTTAACAAGTAACATGTTTTTATTGCCGTTATTAACTATACAACTATGATAATCATACAAGTAAAATCCACTTTTTGAAATGTACGGTAGATAAGGTTGTAGAAGATACGCAGTTGAGGTAGATATACACGTACCTCTTAATAATATTGTGGTTTTGAAGTTCCATTAGGTACTGATAGTAAGTAAACATCTATAAACAGATATATTTCTGGGTGAGACCACACTTTTATTGATAAATTGGTATTGTTGAATTGTTTATTATATATAATCAAATTATTTACTGAACCAACACACAGTTTCAAACTTTCAGTTCAGTATCGTATGATTAACTGCTGTTTATAACTATGGACACACACGATAAAGCTACTGACTGAACATATTGGTTTAATCCTAAAATTACCGATATGGATCCCATCGGATTTTTGGCCCATTTTTCTAAAGTATTTATGTACCAAACTACTTATGAGTCCATGACTTTGTCAAGTTAAACAACTTTACATGTTTACCACATTCTCTCTTTTTGTTGACATTAGATATTACATTTTCAGAGATACGTTTTTCAGTTCAAAGTATTTACTGGGGTTCTATCAGCACGTCACAGTTCATTAGCCTATGAGTAGAAAGCATTGAACTCCAATAAACACTCAGATTAAGGCTTATCAATTCAAGTTTTTGTCCTTTTATATCCCCCCCCCCACAAACTAATAAAAGGCCCTTTTTTGTTCTTTTACATTTCTGAACTAGAGGTAACTTGATTGGACCGCTAGTCTCTGTGTTTGGTAATATATAATTCAGAATCCCCAGTGTTTCTTACACGCCACTATTACAGCTTTTGGAACCGCAGGTGTGCCTTGGGTATGAATTGTTAGTCGACTTAATGTTCCGTGAATTA